TCCTGAAACCCTCATTCATTTTTATATATATATATTTATATATATATAAAAATGAATGAGGGTTTCAGGATTTATTTTTTCCCACAGAAGAGCAACTTTGTTAGTTGGAGGGGACAGTGTAGTTTCTTTCCTAAGTGTGAACAAATTGCTTTGTTTCATGATATATATATACACACACACACACAACTACTACTACTACTGAAAGTCACTCGAGGTAATTTTCATTAATCCTCTTTTAAACTCACTGATCGTTCTTATTAATCCTTGGAAGCCAGACACTAAAAATGTTCACTTATCAAACAAACCTTCCCCCACTGATTTACACATCCAGTCACATGTACACACTGGTTTATAGTTAGGAACAGAGGAATTGCCACATCAGTTGCAGAATTATCCTATGGTTCATCTGAAATACCATTATGCTACTCAGGCTAGGACTTGTCTACATAGGGAGTTATTCCAGTATAGCTATTTCTGATTTATTCTAGAATAAAATCATCCACATATAGAGTTAGAGTGTCCTCACATGGATAGTTAATCCACTTTAAATTCCTAAATTATTCTGGATTAATTTTCATGTGTAGACAAGTCCTTAGAGAGATTAGGTCTAGTCCATGCAATATCACCACATTGAGGGAAAAAAGCTGCCCGAGTCCAGCAGTAATAAAACTGGACCAAATCCAGAGAGACACCAAACAACCTGCCAGTTTGGTTTCACTGGGAATTGCAAGTCCTCAGCCCAACTCAGGATATGGGGAAAGATCCTGCTCCTTGCTCTCATTGAAGTTAATAAATTTTATTATTGATTTCAGTTTAAGCAGGTCCAGGCCATTGGTCCTTTATACATTAAAGCAAGAGGGCTGATTGTCATTTTTATTCTTTATTTTATAAATGCAGATGCTAATTTCATTTCTAGATGGCTCTAATCCTTAAATTACTTGCTTATTTCAGTGGCAGCGAATTTCACAAGTTAATTTTATATTGCATGAAAAGTACTTTTTATTCATTTTTAAAATTTGTCAATTTCATTTAGTCTGTGTTTGTTCTTGTATTATGGGATAGGGTAGGTCAGTTCATTAGAACCAGGCTGCTGGAATAATTCCTATTGGTTTGCTTCCACTGCAGGGCCTAACCAACAGACCAAGAATCAGGAGTTGGGGAGCTTTGCCTGTACAGCAACTGAGCTACTGCCTTTTGTAAAACTTACGTTGTTTAATATCTTCCAAGACAGACCCAATATCCCAAGAACACATACGCCTGCTGTGGAGCCAGCACCCAAGATATTCCACAGGTTGTACTCTTAGAGCCACAGACACATTGTTCATGAGTTAGGCTCCAAGGTCCTGAGCTTTTGCAGGATCAGGGCCCAAGAATTCAGACCTTTAGTATCCACAGAATTAGTTACTACATAATTACAGGTTTGAATTATACATATTATTTAAAATGAAACAAGTAGCTGAAATGTATATTTGTATAACTCAGTATCTGTGCTAAAAGATTAAAATAGAATTAAAGTATGTATACTTCTGAGACAGCAATGTATCCTAAAAAAAGAGTTGAAGTTAGAAGTCTCAAAACAATTTTGAAGTGTTTCATTACTAAATGCATGTACCTTGATTAGCTTTATAATTATCCAGATAAGATTGCTTTATTGCACTACTTAATTTCTAAGGGAAAGCAATTCATGAAATGTACTCTGACACTTTATCACTTGATTAAAGAGCTCCCAAATTGCTCTAATATATACAATGCAGGAGGAGGGAAGAGATGAAATAGGGGATTTAGAAGTCATTAACTGTATACTAATCCTTTAATCTCATTTAGTTTGTGTTGGACCAGCACAAAATACTACTACTATACAGTACTGGTCACTTACTCATGGAGTTTTATTTCAAGCTAATCTACAATTAGCATAAATACAAGCTAATAACCTATTATGATTAGCTCTAAATTAATTGCAATATTGGGGAAAATGTGACGAATCACTTTAAATATTATTCTATACATAATGCTAAAAATATAATTCAAACATCATCTAGATGGATGTTAAAGAATTTCTCTCATTAAAAACATCATGAATATTAGCCTGGCATATGATATTGCAGTTTAAGAATGACTAAAATGAATTATATATATATATAAGACAAGTAACAAGTTTTGGTGAGACACATTTTGATTAATAATGTTAATAATATAACATGTTTCTACTTCAATGCACTAATTAGACCCAATCTGCAACTTGTTGCATGAAGACAGACTACTCAACCAGCATAGAGCCCCAATGAAGTCCTTGTCTGCCCACACAAATAGGGGCCTTAATCAACACAAACTTTCCTTTGTGGAATTTTGTGATCCCCACTTTACAGATGTGGAAAATGACACACAGCTTTAAGTGATTTGTTCATGGCCATACAGCAAATCAGTGTCAACGCTGGGATTAGATTGCAGCAGTTTCTGACTCCAGCCTCATGCTCAGATCACTAACAAACACTATAAAGACATACTGAATAAAAATTAATCAGTATTCACAATGGATGGACAAGGATACTTATTCCAAATATGTTTTTGTTTAATAAAAACTTTTATAGCTACATACTCAGTGTATTTTTTTAATAAATGAGTGGGGGTTTTAGTAGGGATATGTAACTAACTGAAATTAAATAAAATCAGTCTAAATATATGTGGCTTTAATGCAAAATTGTTTTAATGAAATTTGTGGGGGAAGTTAAAAAAAACCACAAACTTGCTAACTAAAATGTTTGCTGATTTAGATCTGTCATTATCTGATTTATCCATTCACTTCTGCAGCTGAAACACCAGAGACTGCTACCCACAAGCATAAGACGATGTGCAATATTTCGAAGGTTTAATACACGTTAAAGGCAGAGCCAAACTCTTTCTTAAAACAAATACACTTTTTGATATCAGCTAAAAGATTCTCTGTAGGCAGTATACCAGCCTCTGAAACAACTGTCATTACACTAGTGAATGTAAACATTCTGTCCTCAAAAGCAGCACGGGGCATAGGGGATAAAGAGGTAATAAGGATGAGAAGAAAGATGATAGAGTTTAGAAACAGATGGAATTTTCAACAAGTTGCATGTTTCCTTCCCAGCAGCAAACAAGCCAAACAGGCAAACACTAAACATGACAGGACACATTAATTAACTCCCTTCTTTCTTTCTGTTACCACATTTCCCTTAAGACTAGTTTTGCCAGTCTATTCACCTGGGGAAAAATAGTAAATATTCAGTAATAAAGTGGCAACTATCACCAGACAATCCCTAGACAATGTGTTCTACCATAGTTTTAAGTCCTGTCATATCTTGGTCCTTGATGGGAACAATTATTTCCTTTTCCTATTTGTAACAGTATCAAGGACTATTACAAAAACAACGAGGAATTCGGAGGCACCTTAAGGTGCCACCGGACTCCTAGTTGTTTTTGTGGATACAGACTAACACGGCGACCCCCTCTGATACAAAGATTATTACCTGATACATTTAGCAGTATCACCAAGATGGGGCAGAAGGTGTTTGAGCAGGGTTGATTCAAATCTAAGGAAGAGGCTGAAGGGGTAGCAGCAAGTGGAAAACTAGACTAGCCAGCCAGGGTAGGTGCTATTTCCACACCTGCTGGGAAGTTCCTGTAATAAGTCACTCCCAGAACCCTGCCATCACTTCCAACTCTGGCACGCATATAAGCAGGCGCACACGCCATGCAGGGAGAGGAGTTCAATAACCATTTGCCCTGTGCTAACCACACTGGAGGAGCATGTGAATATCACCCCTGGTTCTCCCACTGCCAGCCACGCCCGGGCGGACAGGCGTGTGTGTGTGTGTGGGCGGGTGTCTCAGGAGTCACCTCGGCTCTCCCCCAAGGCCAGCCACGCTGGGGGTCTCAGGAGTCACCTTCCCCCAGGGCCAGCCTCAGCAGAGGAGTGGTGGGGGCGGGAGGGAGGTGCGGGGTCTCAGTCACCACACCCGAGGAGCCAGGCACGCCGGGGAGGGCCACAGCGGAGAGCGGCCGCACGGGCCACTGTTCTGCTGGGCGCCGCCAGCCGCGATTTCCCCCCAGCGCGTGCGGGCGCGGGGGCTGCCCCCCGCCCCGCTGGGCCGCCGCACTCACCGCCGGGCGCCGCCGCCGCCCTCTCTGCCCGGGACTCAGCCTCTGTGGGCGACCGGAGCTGGCCGACCTCTCACCCGCTCCTCCTCCCGCTGCTGGCTCCGCCTGGCCCCGGGCGAGGGAGGCCGGGCCCGGAGCTCTCCCGCCCGCCACGGGACTCAGAGTTTGCCGGCGCCCGAGCCAGGCAGGGAGACGCCCTCTCTGTGCCCCTCGCCCAAGGGGGCGGGGCTCTGCCTGCTGGTCCCCTCGGGCAGCCTGGGGTGGGAGCGTTACCGGTGACACTGCGCTGCCGGCCGCCTCACACCGCCCCAGTACCAGAGATCCTACCGCTCACACCGCCCCCCACCACAGCCTCGCACTGCCCCCGGGCCAAGGAATCCCACCCACCCATCACGGCGTCATACCCCGCGGCGTCACATGGCACTTTCCCCACTCCTTCACATCGCCCCAGTGTCAGGGATCGCCCCATGGGGTCATCCCCTTCCCCACCCTCACATTGTGCCCCCCGTCCCAAAGTCTCCTACCCCCCCTGCCAGGGCATACCCTCCCACGCCCCCACACAGCCGCAGTGCCAAAGCATCACCAGGGCTGCCCAGAGGATTCAGGGGGGCTGGGGCAAAGCAATTTTGGGGGCCCCTTCCATTAAAAAAAGTTCAATACTATAGAATACTATATTCTCGTGGGGACCCCTGCGGGGCCTGGAGCAAATTGCCCCACTTGCCCCTCCCTGGCAGCCCTGAGCATCACTCTGCCCCCCCCCACCCCCTCCCATCACCACCCCCTCCCACACCCACACACTGCCCTGCATCACACCCTCATACTGCCCCAGTGCTGGAGCATCACTCCACCTCCCACACAACATGCTCTCACAACCCCAGTGTCAGGGCAGCACATTGCCTCTCATCACGCCCATACACTGCGCCAGTGGGTCACACTGCCCCCAGCAATCCTCTCACATCACCCCAATGCCAGGGCATCCCACCACCCTCCACCATGCCCTCACACCACCCCCACTGCACCATCACACTGCCTCAGTGCCAGGATTCATGCCACTCTCCCACACCCTCAGACCATTCTTGTGCCAGGGCATCCCACCACTCCCACCACACCCCACGCCCTGCCCCAGTGTCAGGGGGTCATACCAGCCCCACCACCATGCCCTCATACTGCCCCAATGCCAAGGCATAAAAGTGTCCCACCCAACGCCATCATACCACCCCAGTGCCAGCACGCATCCCACTCCCCTATACCCTCACACTGCCCCAGAGCTAGGGGCATTACTCCTCTACCATGGTTACCAGTTCTCTGCAATATTGCTCTGGCCAGTGTTTACAGAGAGGAAAGCATAGCAAAGCTTGTGACGAAATTGCATGATATGCCACATCTACTGTTAAATAAAGACTTGTTTAATCCACCAAATGGGCATCTGTCCTCACGTTGCCCATTGTGGATAAGTTTACCGGGTGAGGGATTTACGATAGAGAATGAGTGGTGAGCTTCCTGGTCCACAGAGAAAATGACAATTATCTTTTCTGAGACCCCACTCAATGTCAATCCAGGGTTGATTTACCACTAAGGCAATGGAGCCTTCTGAGCCAGTTTCATACTGGACATGGAATTTGTGCTGCAGCGGAATTTCGGTGATGTTTCAGAGACAGTCCACTATGTCAATGTGGGCAGCCCCAAACCATGACACACACATGAGGACTACAAAATGACTCAACTTCCTGGAGGTCTTTGTGCCTTGAACATAGTTCATAAGAATGCTGTGGCTTGGCTTGACCAGATTACATACACCAAATAATAATAGTGCCAGGATGTCACTCCACTCCCCCCCACACACACACCACCCCTATGCCAGGGTGTCACTCTACCCCCCTCCATGCCCTCACACCACCCTGGTGCCAGGGTGTCATACTGCCCACCAGTGTGTGTGTATGTGTGTGTGTGTGAGACAGAGAGAGAGTGAGCGCGCTTTTCCTAAATCCTGTCACTCAATAAAGCCAAATTAATTGGAGCTGTAACTCAATTGTTTTCAATGCAGTTAGAACAAGGATTATTTTCCCCCATATGTTCAAACAAATTTAGGGTTGAGCAATACAGAAGGGAAAATATCCAGTTGCTGCTTTTAATTTAGTTTTCGACCAAATCACTAACCACAGCCCAAATTAGTCTTTGTCTCTGTCTTGGAAGGACCTAATTCTGAGGAGACGCTCAGCACTCCTGACTCCCACTAATTTAAAGGAAAGTTGATGGAATTCAGCACCCTACAGGAAGTGATCAGCACCTTAAAGATTAGGCCTGAAATGTGCAAGGACTTGTCTATGCTGATTCTGGTAAAACTTGCCTTTACTTGTGATTAGCTACTTTGACGCTATGAGTTACTCAAAAATGCATTTGTTTCCAGAAGCAAAGAGCATCTGATTAAAGTTTTACAAAAAGTTATCACTTGCAAGCCAGAAGCAGGCACATGTTATAACACATCACATTCAACTTTGTATTTAAAGGTGGACCTTCCTTAATACTATATCAAAATTGTAAAAAAAAAGTTTGAAAAGAACACCCAAACGTGTATAGTTTGATTTTTACACTTTGCTATTAGTAAAGATATTTATGTTTTGAAAGACGGCTTCTCTCTCATGGCCTAACTAAGCCTTTTGCTAGATCCTGCAGGGATGTCACAGTCCCTAACGTTAAAGTTGAAATTGCCACATACAGAATGTATTGTGATGTCACAAATTCAGTATAATAAGCCAAATTCTGCCCTGATTTGTACCCATGAAGCTTCATTGGGAGGAATTCGGCACTATGGGTAAAATGAAAGAGCAGACAAGTTGTGAAGGAGAAAAAGCTTGTTTTTACTACAAATGGCTCCTGTAGTTACAAAACAACATCATGTGCAGGATAGACTCTGCCACTAGAGAACATATCAGTTGTGAAACAGATATTTTAGCCAAAAGGCAAATATGAAATTAATGCAGAATGTGTCCCTAACCTGCCTGAGAATGAATCCATCAATAGACTCCTTAGTTGCGGTGGGCAGAAGAAAGCACTTTGAGTTTGCAGCTATGGTGCAGTACACTTAGCTTGAAGGTACACACCCTACAACTTGTCAATTCAGTTTGTAGTTTAGGATTGTTCTTGGCTTCCTCACTGATGCTAAGATCTCATGTAATAGAAAGTATTACTCATAGATGCTATCATTTTCAGCTGGCTAGGAGACACCAGCTCATCCTGACCTTGGTTATTCATATTTTTGTCATGTCCAGTCTGGACTACAGCTGTGTCAGAGAGTTCAGGGTGCAATCCAGACCAGTGAGGGGTTGTGTTACTTCTTACCCTGTAACCCTGAGTACCCCACAATGCTTTGCCACTGTAGCTCCCAGCCTAGGAGCCATCCGCTGACTTTGAGGCAGTAGGTCAGAGCCCTCTTTCCTGGACAGGGCATCTGCCACCATAGTTTCTTTCCCCTTTATATAGAAAAAACCTGTTTGTCACCTTTGTCTGTTTATAGTCTCCTGGACATATCATCAGAGAGTATCCATGATTTCACCTACTGAGGTGTTACAAACATTTTACAGTGACATTAATGGCCAGTGTGTTATTAGATTTCATTAGCTAGACATATTATATTACGTGTCACCTTTTAACTAAATATCATGACACCAGTGCGTGAGGTGTAATGAGTATGTCAGGCCTGACAAGAGTTGCTAACATGGAGTAGTGAACCATAAGTGGGCCAGTGTGTCACAAGCAGTGCAGTGCATTTGGGCATGAAGTCATCAGCTCTTAGGAAACACCAGCTAGAATGCTGCAGCATGTTTCCTCAGCCACTACATCAAACCCATGCTCTGCTCTCCACACTTCCCATAGAACAGTGAATCAAATTCAAGATCTTGGGCCTTATCTTCATGGTGTTGAATGAAGGATGACAACTCCATATGACGAAGTGGGACTGTTCATAATGTTTCCTCTGAATACTGTGTGGGTGCCTCAGTTTCCCCTATGCATTTCTTAAGTCTCCAGTGTGCATAAATGGCTGACAATCTGTCTCCTAGCAACAAATGGCCAGGGCCTTCCCCTCTGCAAGGGAATAACTAAAGGTGAACAAAGAGATCAGGTGACCTCCTGGCCCGGGAAAGAGACAAAGGCCAGAAAGGAGTGGCCGGAGAGGGTTTCAGTTTGGAGCTGGCTGGGGACAGGAAGTGAGGGCAGACGGGGGTATCTGCCTCGCTGGGCCCCAGAATGGACCCGGCTGAGGGATCCCGTTCTTGGCACCTACAAGCTCTGTTTTAGACCGTGTTCCTGTCATCTAATAAACCTCTGTTTTACTGGCTGGCTAAGAGTCACGTCTGACTGCGAAGAGGGGGTGCGTGCAGGACCCTCTGGGTTTCCCAGGACCCCGCCTGGGTGGACTCGCTGTGGGAAGTGCACGGTGTGACGGGTTGGATCACAGAAACCCCCTTGAGAGCTGCCACCCGATGTGCAAAGACTACCCC